TACAGACTTAAAAATAATGTAGCACATAAAAAAAAAAAACAAAAATTAGCTTTTTAATGTCTTGAATCTTCAATTTGGAATTTCTTTATTGCACAGTAGAGAAATTTCATAGATTTTTATTGCATTCAAGATTTTGCTATATATATATACATATATTCGTATATTAAATCTCATATATGTAAGGTATATATTATATTTATAAAATTTTTTATAGAGTATATTTTAGACGTCATAGTTGAAGTAAATTGTATTACATCCTCTTATAGAAATTTTTATTTTAAAAATACAGAAATAATAAACAGTTACATACATAATACTTTTTAAAAAGTGAATTGCATGCAATAAGGGAGGTTATGTGATGGCATTTTGGATGTCGAGTTTTCCGTGGGAACGTACTTCCCCATAGTAGTCACACTCACACTTGAGATTAATGTTCGGGATTAATATCAAAACCGAACTAGGGGCCGATTAAAAATTTTTTACCATATCTACGGAACGGATTGATGGAACTTTTTGAAATATAATATTAAAGTTCTGCTTCTTGCCGAATCTAAGTGGTGAACACTTTAGAGAATTTGTGAAGCTGAAAATGAAATTATACTAAGAGCCAAATTTATATTTTTCTATAGGTATATTAAATAAAGGCTTACTAATTTTCTTCTATTAACTAGGAGAATATGTTCCAAAGGCATTTTCATAATCTTTTGTAACACTTTCACTAGACAATATAGATTGCGGTCGGTTATGTGCTGATCACATTAGATTTTATTTTTTTTGTGAGACTTTGTATGTATAATATTAGATGTAAGTAACATTTTATACTTGCATATTGTTATTTTATTCATAAAAAATTTTATGCGAAAGGATAAAAGTACAAAAAAAAAGAAAATAAAAATTTTTTACTTCCTCAATTTTTTTGTTGATTTCTTATCTTTTTCTATATATTTCTGTATTTGAATTGTGGTCGTGTACTCTGCATTTTATAATCATATAACAAATTTAATGCATCCTCAAAACTGTTTTTTATTTATATGTAATAAGTAAAATTTTAAGATATTTAAAGATTAGGAAGATGAAAATATCTATAACCATACAGCTTTCATGGAACTGGGATGAAGAAAATGTTACTTGAATTTTAATATTAGGAATTATACATTGTTCAATATTCGAAACATTTTTGAACACATTCTGTGCGAGTTAACATTAAACTAGAATTAAATGAAATTCTGAAAAAAACTGCGGGAGTCAGAGTCGACTGAGTAAGTTGTTGAAAATTTCATTAAAATTATTGATTTTCAATTATTTTACAGGAATTTATTAACATATTTTTTATTTACTCTAAAGGTTAGTAAACCTCAAGTAGAGGCTAATATAAATTTATTAAAATCTTATGAAGTTTTCTTTGGAAATCTTAGCGTTTCCCCCTAATATAGGTTTCTAAATGAATTACAAAGTATCACAAGATCTATACACTGTTATTATTGTGTTGATCTTCTTGTTTCTATTATCTTTGATTTAAGAAAGCAGGCGTGGGACAAAATACGATATTCTTGTTGATCCTGATTTTGTAAATTATTTTTTTCACTTAATTGAATTTCTTTCTTTTAGTAATTGCATAATATTTTTTTCTTTACGGTTTTGGAATAAAAAAATTTCTTGTAAAATTTCATTTTATTTTTTCATATCGTTTTTATTATTAAATTTGTATTGTGCGATAAAAATATAACAATTTACACACGTTTTTCCGTTTTTTGTGACTAATTTTTGGCAACAAAACCGTGGTTTTGATTCCGAATGTTGTTGTTTGTATTTAGAAATTCACAAAATCTCTATATTTCTTTAAAACTTTTATATGAAGAAATAGTTTTAAAAAAATATTTTTCTATTACTTGATATAATATAGTTTATGGTTCCAAAGATTGTTAACATTTTGGTTTTAATCAATGAAAAATATTACAGAAATACAACATGCGATTTTGTGCATAAGAACTAAAGAAGTAGAATATTAAAAGTACGATTAAAACAAGCAATTAAAAAAAACAAATTCGCTTTTACTACCGAACGCGATATGGATCCCAAGTCACATGAAGAAGTGAATAATATAGGAAAAAAAAATCAATTGAAGAGCCAACAGGCATGACTTATTAAACTTCTGTATACACAGATTATGCATAATTATTAATAAACAAAGCAATTAAAAATTCCTTGAACAAAGAATGGTTGAATATACAAAATAGTCAATTAAGAAATTTTAAATCAAATGCAACTGAATGGAAAAATATTAATCGAGGCAAAAAAAATCTAGGCTAAGAATAGGACAATATATAATTTTTCACATACTCGTACATTCCTTTTTTTTAGCACTTTTCCAAAAATTTTTTGAAAAAAAGTGCTTATTAGTTTCACTCTGTCCGTCCGTCCGTCCGTCCGTCCGTCCGTCCGACCGTCCGTCCGACCGTCCGTCCGTCCGTCCGTCCGTTAAACTTTTACACCCTTGAAGATAGAAAGCTGAAATTTTGTACGTACATAGATCTTTACTAGAAACTTATTTCCGTAGAACAAAATTTTCACCTATCTCCCCCCCTCTAGAAGTTATACCCCCCCAAAACACTAAAAATGGCCTTTTTTAACTATTTGTTGCAATGAAACCATAAGCATTTTTTAAATTTTGCAAACGCATAAAAGCAGCGGCTTGCTTCCTCTAGCGCGGTATACTATGGTTAAACTTTAGAAAAACAAAATGGCCGTTCAAATTTACCGTTATCTAAAGTCTTTTTTTTCCAAATTTTTGATGTCGTTTTTCTTCTAGACCCCAGCTTGTAGAAGCTTGAAATTTTAGGGGCTTTTAGACATTAATAAATAGTTCATTTCATTAGAAGAAAATTTTTTTCCATCTCCACCCCCTCACAAGTTATCGCCTCTTGAAATTTGTAAAATTTGAATTTTTGACACCTTATATTTCCAAAACCGCAAGCTTTTCCAAATTTCTATAAACACAAAAAGCTAACGGTAAATTCCATGAAATTAAAAAATATAATTATTTTTCTTATCTCACACAATTAACCTTTAAAATCGAGCATTATGTTAACCCCTTTTTATATTAATTTTTGCTTTATTTCAAAGACTGCATATATGCGTCATCCTAAATATATGCAATCCTAGCAATAGTTTTGTATATGAATGAAAATAATTTTAATAGTATGATAGGTATACATAGACTGTATTCAAAAGCAGAATTTTCCGTTGTTGAAGGGAAAAGTGCTATAATACAAACCATTGGTTTGACCCAACTTTATTTTGGAAAAAATTTCACTACCTTTTTGTGAATTTGGTAATAGTTTAACTATCTAGCACATTTATAATGATTGCCACAAAATTTTAAGTATCAGAACCAAATTATAAAATATACAATATTCGAGTTTTGAAAAGTGAAAACGTAATATGTCACAATATTTTGTATACATACACTTTTGCATTGTATAACATTATCATAATTACATATTATAAAATTATTTATACAAATTAATTAGTTGAGCTTGATAAAATCCAAAACAATTATAAAAGCCAATAAGAAACCATTTAATAATAGTTACTTAGTATATGGAAACTAGTTGGTTAATTCCCGAATAAATCATATTTAACTTAAAATAAATAAATAAAATTCAACTTTTCAAAAAGAAGTTGTTCTTTAGCTAAATTTTATTTTATGCAAAACATTTAAAGTTCCGTTTTGAAAATATACACTTTTATTATTCAAGAATGCAATCTTAAACTTCTAAAATTTTCAATATTATCTTTTATTCATATAAACATATTTTGTTGCCCTCGGTGTTTATTATAGATTGAATATAAATATTTTTTATAAAATATAAAAAATGGTGTGGTTATAGCTTTAAATGTCATTACAGGATATTGATGACTTTCTATATATAAGTAGATATTGGATAAATTTCACGACTATTTTATTTGATTCGAATTCAGTTTTCAACTGTTTTGTTTTCTTCCAACTCTTCATCTTGTTCAATAAAACATATTGAATTGAAAAATAATTTTTAAGTTAAAATAAAAAGAAACAAAAATTAAAGTATAAGGAATAAGAAGAAAATAGAAAATTTTGTTTCGTTTATTGTACAATTTTCCAGGATTGAGATCTTCATACATATATATAGGTATATGTCTATATAATAATGTCGATGCATACTTGTATAATACAAATAACAAATGATTTTAAATGAAAATATCAACTTAAATAAAGGAATTGAGGTAAGAGTTTTTCCATTTTCTTACCTTTTAAAAAACTTAACAAGAAGTTATTCTTTATTTATAACATTTTACTTTTATTCTGTATATATATATAATATTAAGAGAGAATAGAAATGAGAAAATAAAATCCAAGTGGTATAACAATATTGTGTACATATGCTTATTTTTATCTTGAAAAAAAAAACTAAAAAACAATATCCAAAAAAAAAAAAATCAAGGTAAAGGAATAAAAAAAAAATAGTGATGGTAAAAAAATTGCAATAATTTGTTGTAAAAATTGTTAAGAAAAAAAGCAGAAAAACAAAAAAAAAAATCAAAAACAAAAAACTTAAAGTTCTTCTATTTTATTCTGAATTTTTTTTCTTTTATATTTTTCCCAATTGACTTCGAGATTTTAAAATGTTATACAATGATGTTTATATAATGTATATACAGAATACATAATGCAAATCTTATATATTTCACCATTTAGCTTATATATATCACCTACATAATATACTATATATATATATATATATAATATATTAAATATTTGTAACTTGTGGTTGTTAACAATCGCGTTCCTTTTATTATACATATACTTATACCTATTGCATTTAGAGAAAATATTGCAGTAATATTAAATAATTTAAACAATTTCTATTGGAATTAAATATCTATATATCTATTAAATTGTACATACATAATATACATAATATAACAATGAAACGTTTATTTTTAGCTATTTGTACACTTACCTGCTACAGGTATTCCATTTTGCCACCATGATACTTTTGATGGTGGATTACTTGAACTCGAATCACAAATCAAAGTTGCTTCTGTACCAGGTTTCAATTCTTCTGGTTCAATACGAATTTTAACTGTTTCAGGTGGAACTGTAATTGAAATTAAATAAAAGAAAAAAAAAGCATTAAAAAATAATTGGACAAACAGAAAAAAAAATAAATATTTTTTATTTTTTTGCATTAGTTTTTAACTGTAGATCAAGAATCGTTTGTATTTCGGATGTATGTATGTATGTTTGTATATGATAGGGAAAATGAGAGTGTTGAAAAAAATAAGAGTATAACAATAAATATAATAATAGTATTTTTAAAAATTCCTAAAAGCGAATTTAAAAGAAAAAGAAAAGAGAAGGAAGAGAAATAAAGAGACAAAGAAGAATATAAATTTAGAGACCGAAATGGAGAATAAAATTGTTTCTTATTGAAAAGTTTGCAAAAAAAGAGAAGAAATCAAAAGAATATAAGAAAAAAGTTGGGAGAAATTTTTTATTTTTCAAAATGTCAAAAAGCCAACAGCATTAAGAACAAAGAACAAGAAAAAAAAAATAAGCACACCTCAAGAAAAGAATGAAAGGATATTACAAAATATTCTACCCCCTTGTGATTTTGTTTTTGTTCCTTTTGATGGAGGTGTTTTTAAAGTTACTGTTTTATAGTATAAAGGCATCAAAAAATCTCAAGAATTATTGCACTCTATCGCAATACTTTTGAATTTCTCTGCCATTCCTTAGTGTTTTTATATTTTTTTCGTTTCTCTTAACTTTTAAGTCATTCAGTATTCTTAAAAGTATACTTTATTATGGATACATTAGGGGCTCTGATAACAAAAAAAAAAAAAAATATGACGATAAAGATTTTGGGATTCGATGCATTCTTTGTTTTTCAGTCTTTTTCTTTTTCTCTTGATATTTTAATTTTCTTTATTTCGTTTTTTTTTTTTTTGGAGTACATTTGAAGTGAAATAAGGTGACATTTAAAATGGCAATGTCTGTAATTTTATTTCTTTTTTTGCAACTCTCCATTTTCTTTCATTCTTTATAGTAATTGCAATTTTTCAAGAAATAAGTATTCTTATAAGGACAAAATTTACGAATCGAACCATTAAGTTTAGTAACATTCATTTTGCCCTTATAATTTGTTTTTTTTTTTTTGTGTAAAAAAGGGAAAGTTTTATGATTTTTTCCATTTTTACACCTTAATTCTTATATATTATATTGGGTGCTTGAGGGAAACTTTTTTCACAAATTATTAAATTGAAATCGAAGTGTAATTATTTATTTTTTTTATAAAACGTAACGCGTTTAATGTGAAAAATATATATGTATACATAAAAAAGAATTTATTATAAAGTGTTTGAAAATTAAAGTATATTTAAAGTGCAATAAATTCAGTCTGAAGAATTATTGAAATCTCCTTATTATAGATTTTGAAAGGTAAATAAATAAATAAAAAAAAAAATGGATGAACCCTCTTAAAAATCAATTTATTTAACCTTTGAATTTTTCAATAACATTTTCTTGATTTTTCACTTTAATTATAAAACTATATATAATTAAAATATTTTAATTAAAAGGAAAGAATATGAATGAAATTTAAATAAAAAAAATAAAATGGCTATAAACAGAATATAAGGGAAGAAGGAGTACAAAACAAATATTTATAAAAAAAACTTACAGTGTACACTTAAAGTTTTTGATTCGAATAATGGTATTTCGGTTGCAGCATTATGTGCTTCACATCTATATCTTGCTTGATTATCGGTAACATTTGCATAAATTGTTATTTCCGCTGAAACTGATGATTTATCTGTGTTATGTTTAACAACTGAATTAATCTGAAATTATAAAAAAGAATATATGATTACGAAAAATGTTATAATTAAAATTCAAAAAATTTATAAATTTCTTTTTTTTTTAAATTTCCAAAAAAAATGTTAATTATATGTGTTATGTTGGAATATTGTCAGTTTTTACCCTAAAAGGCATTAAAATCGGTATTATGAATTTGCATTACCAATTGCAGCGATAAAAAATAATGGTTTATTATAATATAGACTCAAGTATATGTTTTTGATCAATGTTAAATTCAGAGTCGATTTAACCATGTCTGTTCGTCCTAACGATAATTAAAAAACTAATTGAGCTAAAATCACAAAATTTTCAACAAACAATTTTTTACAGTAAACGCCAGAAACCTATTTAAATTAAATATGATCCAGGGATTAAATATGATATGGTTCGACTAGCTGCCATACAATTTTAAAATTTATTTGGCTATATTTTAGAAATTATATGGTAGAAAGCTATGGTATTGATATTTCACAGAAACAAAATTATTAGGGCTATCATGTTTAATAAAAATTGTCGAAATTTATCGACTGGCTATGTTAGCTGCCATACAATATTGTATAAGTTGTTTGATTATAGGACTCAAAAACGCTTGAAGCTATATAAAGATGAAATTTTGAACAAATGAATTTGTTATATTCATTATTAATCCAATATTTTCGATTTGAAAAATTTCCTTAACAATTTATTTCGAAAATATTCATAAAATTTTAAAAACGTATTTGTTCTTGATTTAATTCTTGGGATAAATTTGAAAATTTGTGAATTTTACTGAAATTTGAGATTATGATTAATTTACAAATTGCAAATATTGTCATATATTTCTACATAATAAATATAAATAAAATTGATAAGCAAATATTAAAAGAAATTTTAAGCACAAATTATATTTTGTTGTTTGTTTTTTTAAAAGAAAGAAATGGTTTTCAATAATTTCTTGTAATAAATTATTTTCATTTAATCTTTCGGCTTCAATATTTTTTTTCTAGAAAAGTTGAACCGCTTCATAATAAATCATATAAATTTTAAGTTTTTTCGGTTTTAATATAAAACAATTCTATGTATGTTCAAGATATTGGGCACATAATTATAACATCACTTTAAAAATCTACTAATAAAATCCTTGCAACAAATTCAATTTCCCATATAGTAAAAAAATTCTCTGTTTTTTCTGAACTATTCAACAAAACTAAATAAAGTTAGAAAAAATTAAAAGACAATTTAAAAGAAAAAAAAAATTTTCAAACCAAAGACAAACTTTTTCCTTAATCCTCTTCATTTTAATTGCTAAATAATTGTTATTTTCATTGGCTTGTAAACACAAAGAAGAAAAAAAACAATAAAAGAAATTTATAAAATTTAAATACTCTGATAAAGTGAAATCGTTGCGTTTTATAAAAATTTATTTTTCAAAATTTCATTATAAATATCACAGCAAACCAGTTATATTTGCATATTATTTATGCAATATTTATATATATGTAGCTAAGTACACAGAATGAGTGAGGAAAGTTTTGGAAAATAAAAAAAATTATTTAAAATATATTTCAACTAGATAGTCTTTTCGATCCTGTGCTAGTAATAGTAGCTCTATATATATGGGAAAAAAAAACATTCATTATTTATTGCTCCTATATAAAAAATTATATTTTGGAAATAAGAACAGTCATGGTTTAAATTATTTTAGTTGTAAAATTTCTGATAAAAAAAAATAACGAAATATAATACTTTATAAAGTGTAAATAAATTCATACACACATTAACAATAATATATACTTTTACATATGTATGTATATAATGTATTAAATAAAATATTTCAAGTCATAAAAGAAAACAACTGAAAATCGTGTACTATAAATAAGAAAAAATTATTTAAAGGAAATTGTGATAACACTATTCAAACAAAATGTATAAATAACTTGATAAACGAAAAAAAAAAAAAAAATTATTTTGACATAAATTAGAAATTTAGTGTTGTTCAAATTTATCAAAAATTTCAATGACTTTCATTCAACAATGAAAACTAATCCAATATAAATGAAATGATATTCATATCGAAATTAAGTGAACTAAATATTAAAATGAAAGTTAGGAACAATGAATTAATTTTCTTTAAAATATTTAATACTAATTTAATATATTCTTTTTGAAAATCGTATATGATAACTGAGATTTATATCGAAATTAATAAAGCATTCAATATCATTACTTTGAGATTTCTTTAAAGTGGTTTACCCGAGAGGAATATAACTCTGGCAAATTTCAAAAATTCCGTGGCAAAAGTATATAAAGTAACTTGGCATCACACTCATTCAAATACATGGACGACATTTAAAAAAAGTCAACAATTTTATTTGAAGCCTGTATTAATTACTCAGCAGATAATCTGTAATAAATATACAAATAATCTGAATACTAAACAGATAATCTGAATTACTGATACTGATAATCAATATTATTAAACAAAAAATTTGAAAAAACAAAACTTTTCCGTAATAAAACAATTATTTTGCCTGTGTTTTTGTACGGTAACTGTTGCTGTTGGAGTGCCGCAAACCATTTGAAGAAATTGTAAATTTAATAGAACAAACGTTTAAAATTAATTTTAAATAAATTGATCTATTAAAATGCTGAAAGATTTCATGAAATCTAAGAAATTAAAAAAATTTGAAATAGAAGATAAAATTACCAATAGATTAGAAATTTTTGTCCAACTTATATGAAGTATCTACTAATCCACTAGTTTGATCACTGCTCTGGAGTAGTGCTCTACTAGCTGTCTACTAATCATTTTTTACTTTACTTTTTTTATTTTTAAATTGTAAAGAGCTTATCATTACAAATGAACTTCTCAAAATTTTTACATTTAAAATATTTTTTTTTTTTTGTATTTGTTATAAAAAATTTAAGAATTCTAAAAAATTGTGCTGTAAGAATAAAGATAATGGTAAAATGAGATGCAAGTATGAAATCTTGAATATGAAAAATTGAAGGGAGAATGGAAATATTAAAGTACCAGATATGAAATGTGGAAATAATTATTGTGTTATGTGATACTCTTTTTGAGAATTTACAACGTAACAAAACGTAATTAAATTGATTCTTTGTATCTGTGTGCCGAATGCCGAATAAACCGTCAAAAAGTATTAGTGATGCAATATGAAAAATGGTAAGCATGTATTTTTATTGAAATAAAATTATTTTTACTTTTCTAAATAATTTTTATTAATAACTTAAAAAATTTACCTATTCTTTTTTTTTTGTCTTAAACTGACACTATTAAATAGCAATATCGAATTAATCTAAGTGAATGAAATCAAAACAGAAGTATAATAAAATTTAAACTACATAAAATACTTATACATATACACATAATACAGTATAAAATTACAAACAGAATATCTATGTGCACTTAAGGTTTAAGTACTTCTATACAATTACTATACTAATATTCTAATCTGAAATTGATTATGTACATAATAAATATATGTATATATACATAAGTATAATTTAGTTTTTATTATGCTTTTAAATGTTACTATACGAACATAAAAGTTGGCATCAAATTCTCTATTTTTTTTTTTTTTTAACAAAATACAATGTTCGATCTATAAACAATATTATAGGTACATGAACTTACTATATACAGAATAGAACAGATATTCAAATAATTTTACACTATACAAGTAACTATAGTATATAGAATATATATCTAGCTATTATTTTATTTTATATTACTTATAGATTCTGATTCTTTTATATATATATAAATTGTATTATGAGTTAAGCTACATAAAAGAAGGAATTTCTGTATATACAGATAATAAAAATTTTTATAAACTTTAAATGTAAACACATTAATATATGTTGTATGTATAGGTACACTAGTATAGATAGTAGTATATAGTACACTATTTAAAAAAAAAAATAGTACCTAATAAGAAAATAATAAGGTGTTTACTGGGTGCATTTCAGATTAAATTTTACGTCATCTGGTAATGTATAAAATTAATCTGTTTTATTAGCTATAAAAATTATATACATATTGATAATAAATTTCATGTATGTATATCATGTATATATAGAGAAGTGGCAAAGCTTATAGTATTTGCACGTTTTATATAGAAAAATAAATAACGCTGGTATAAATATCGTGAATTAAATCTATATAAATTTGCTACTATGATGGTCAGGAAAATATGTACTGTGACTAATTGCATTAGAAAAAATTTTGAAAAATTTAAAATTTTAATTTAAAAATTTAATTTCTAATCAATATTTTGTTTTCAAATATAATTTCAAGAATAATTAATGTATTTTAATTGAAAATATGTAAATATACCAAGTATTATTAGAAATTTACATTAAAAGGGATTTGTTATTCTTAGAATACACATAAGAAACATGATTAAATAAATTTTTTACTTGTCGCACATAACCGGAATCAATTTCTCATTAAATATGTAATTAAGTTAAACCTTATAAATATACCATCTACTTTTTAAAAATATTTCGTTTCATTCACTTGAATCAATTTAAATTTTTCTTATTGAATCTTCTGTCTTGTCTTAATTGTAAAAGATTTCTTAGAAGCAAAACACATCATAAATAAAAATATTAATTTCAAGTTTTTCGCAGTAAAATTACGCTACATTTCAGTTAAACATTCCGCATATTATACTAAATTAAATTTTTAAAATACTAATTTTAACAGTTTATGTTTTCAAAAGATAATTTAAACTATTATTATAATTTTTTATATTCATATACATATTACAGTTAATTGAAAATTATATAAATATATTTTCGAAAATTAATCCTTCGAAAAACATTTTCTCATTAAATTCAATCACTTTTATATTCCACCCTGTAACCGTATTACACAGTATAGTATTTAGAAAAAGGATTATGTTAAACGAGTGAGAGAAAAACCAAAAAAAAAAAAAGTAGCAACATAAAATAAAATGAATCAAAAAAAAAAAAGGAT